AGGGAAGTTTAAATATAATATATTTGACAAGTATAGTAATAATCAGTAGTATAATTTCAACTATAGCAAAAAAGTATTATAGCTACCTATTAACATAAATTCAGTATATAGTATATAAAATATTATATATAGCACCCAAATTGTATAGTTCGGTAGATAGAAATAAATTGACCGCAAAAGGTGCCGACCGCAAATGTCCCGACCGCATCGGTGCCGACACCTCTCCTATACCTTTCGCTATAAAGTAGGTGTTTTATTTTGTTTTATTACTAATGTATTATTATTACTGAATAAATGTAAATTTTTATTATTTTATTTGTCATTCTAATTACTTAATGAAGTGCCCATACCTATAATTTTTAAAAATCCAGTGACTAATTTTATAACTCGATACATTTTAATAAAATCTATCTCGATACTTCTTTTAAGTATCTCCCCCCCCCCAAGCCTGTACAATAGTGAGATATAAATTTCCCGCACAAAAAAAATTTAAGAATTTTAATAATTTTTTTTTTTAATATAAGAGCATACCGGTACCTATAATAAAAATATATCATGGAGGATTTGGACCATTCATAAAAAAATAATCACCCCCTCCCCCTAGTTGAAATCCTAGTACGGTTATTCTGTCACCACCAGCCCGTCGTTCGATAGTGGAGCTACATTTTACAATTATAGCATTTAAAATAATAGGAGTAATGGACGTTTTTCGAATTAAACTTGATTTATTATTCCTTAAAAATGGATCAGATCTATAACATATATACAGGAGTAGGGTGCTCTCGTTTAAAACTGGTTTCAATCATAAAAACAAAATATATATATTATGATAATTAGCAATTCAATACATAAAAATGGATGATTCATATACATCWATATTTACAATTCATCAAAATATTGAATTTGTAAATAGACAATTATACGGTTTTAAATGATTTTTATTATTATTTTGCGTTGGTTGTTTAAATACTGTAATTATGCATAAAACTATAGTAATATGTATTTTGTATTTTTACCAGGGTGTAAGCATGTAACACTGGTTATGCTCTARATGTCAAACAACAACAAATAATTAGATTCAAAAATAAAAGTTTATTTAAAGCACCCATAGTAAAAAGCCTCAAAATATTGTCAAAAAATTCAAACACATGTTAAAAATTAAAACTGGACATTCTGAATATGTAATTAATCACCCCTTATGGGTCCAAAACATATAGAAAATACTTGTACTTTGATTCTTTTCTTACTATAATTAACAAAAAAAATTCAGTTTACCGAAAAGTCAATTTCAATTTATATTCCTAAAAATATTAAATTATAAATACTTGAACAGAAAAATGTATGGAAGATGCATCATTTAACTGTATTAAGTTCAAGGTTAATTTAAGAGTATTCATTATTAGTGTATATAATTACAACTTTTTAAGGGAATTGAACATTAATGATACATGTAAATTATAAATTTATTTGTTGCTTCAAAATTACTAATTAAAAATTCTGATTTTATAGGTACYCAAACAGGTGTTCTACTTTCAATAATATTGTCTATAAAACTTGAGAGCCATAAAGTTGAAATGTAAGTGATTTACAAATTCATAATATTTAAAACTATTTTTATTTATTTAGAATTACATTTTTAACTATTATAATATTAAGAAAATGGTATTAACTGTATCATTTTAGATTCTGAGTGAGATGGTTAATGTATTAGTCTTACAATGATGTAGCATTTTATTTTAATTTTTAATTTTTCGTCTGTCATCACATTCAAAAATCAGTAAAAATGCTTTATTTTTTTTCAACATCATCTTTTCTGGTATGAAAGTTTATAAGTGGAGATTAATTAAAAAGAGTGAAATGTATTATTATTAATGTGAAATTTGTCATTCTGTATATTTTTAAGATTGTATATGCAGGTGTAGTGGGCCTCTTAAGAATGTAAATTAGAATTATACATTTTAATTTAGAATTATTTTTGTTTTTCATATATTAATTAACCAGTGATTTACTCAAATAATGATGTTGCGTAGTTTGTAGGAAATAGTTAAGTTATGACGAGTATATGTTAATGTAATTAAGTTCATCAGTACTCCAAAATTCTCAAGTCCTCAGATTTTTTTTGAATGTTACTTATTTTTTTTTTTTTTTAGTTTACTAGGCTGGTTATTTAATCATTTTATTTATGTTTAATAGTTTTATATTAACTGCACCTGCCATAGTATATACTAATCAATATAATAACATAAAATAATTTGCTTAAGTTAAATTMAAAACAAAATTTAAATATAATATATTAAATTTATGAAATAGTTAACTTAGAAATTATATTTATAATATATCATATAAATATTTGCGTTATTATAACATTGTAATAAATATTATGTGTTATTATAATTCGTCAATTTTCATAAATCTTTAAATTTTTCAACATGACTAGATACTTAAACTAATTATTTCAATGACTAGGAGTAATTTAATCATTTATTAAGTTTATCCTTGGTAACATTATTTAATTGAATACATCACTGTTTTATTTCGACTGTTGGTATACAACTATCATAGGTACAATTATTACTAGCTTTACTAACTAATTAATTTTATCCATTTAGATAATTTTTTCTGTATGATTATAGATAGGTGTTTTCATAACTTAGGATTAAATAACTACTTATATAACTAATGATTTTTATCTTAATTATTGTGTTTTTAGTTTTTTTCTCAGTTTTATTTTATATAAATAGTTTTTGTTTTTGTTTTTGTTTTAGATTTACCTGGCCCTATAACAATTCAGTAAATTCATAAAATGAATCCATTTGAGTCGAAAATTGTCTATATCAACATAACAGACTCAAATCATGAAATATCAAATGTTACTGGAAATGATGAAAGGTATTATTTTCAAGTCGTTGAACAAGAAAATACATCTTACTCCAATGACAATGGTATGGGAAGTAGTAAAGCTAGTTTACCAATTAATGAAATATCTTACTCAAATAATATTTCATCATTTAACCAAATGGAAATAAATGATATTTGTTCATCAATAGTGAATGATATACATGAAATTTATAAAGAATATTCATCAGAAATTGAAAGTCAGCTTGAAATAACTACGGACTTAGAAAACCCAAATGATGGCATAATTCCTCTAGAAATCATTGATTCCATTAGCCAGACTGATCCAGTTGTACATTTAACTCAAGATAAACAGAAGGAAAATTCTGAAATGATTGATGATAGTGGGAAACAAAATAACATTATCGATTTCATTGATATCAGTGATGAAGATGAGAATAATGAACAAGAAACCAGCAATATTTCTCCAATTGTAAATTTAACTAGCGTCCATAAACTACAACACGCAAAAAATGTAAAGAAAATACTTCCATTGTTCAAAAGAAAAATTAATTTTAATATTCAATTTTTAAATAAAAAGCAGACTAATGAGCATGTGAATCCTGAAATAAAATCTCCTAATGGATATCCATTAAGAATGGGGGATTTATTATTATTAATTACACCTCATACCTGGCTGAATGATAATATAATCCAGAATTATATTTCGCTATTAATTAGTAATTGTGATCAGAATGTATTGGAATTAAATACTGATTTTTTGATTAGTTATAAACGGAATGGGTACAAATTTATTTATAAATGGTTCAAAATRAAATATCCTTCGTTAAATAACTACAAAAGAATTGTAATTCCAATCAACCCTAACATGAATCATTGGGCCTTACTTGTGGTTGAAATTTGGGAAGGAAAAATTTATTATGCGGATAGCTTTAATCGTTTAAATTTAGAGGAATTGTCAATGACATCTGAATTTTTAAATCAGATATCTATTGACTACTTCCAAGATTCAGGTGTCAAGCGGACTATACCCAACAATTGGACATATGAAAATTGGAATTCTCCTTCTCAATCAAATGTTTACGATTGTGGTGTATTTACATGCACCAATGCTAGATATTTCTTATTCGACAAATACCCAGATTATACAGAGACAGATGTTCCGCTTTTACGGCATAGGATTGCGTGGGAACTGATTAATAACACAATTATTCCTTTTTAACCAATTTTTGAACTATCATTATTTTTATTAACTTTATAGTTACAACACCCTATATTGTGTATTGTTATATWATTAAATTTGAAGTGTCAAAACWTAATTTTAGCTATTAATTTTACTCCCAGTGAAAGAGTTACCAGCCAGTGATTTTTAATTTTTGTAAATAAATCTGTACTGAACCAATGAACTGTGGATCTCATAATCTTGTAATGTCGTATTAAACATTGTGACTTAGACCGTGTTTATATTTAAAACCGAACAGTCAGTGGAAGACCTTATTTTTTCAATATATTCAAAGGGTCTTAAGACTATCATCAACATAACATATGAGACTGAATGATAACATTAATGTATGAGATGTAAGCGCTTCTTCTGTTTTTTAATCTAGTTTTTTATCATCACTACCTAACCAAACAATTATTTTCAATATTGGCCGTGTAAATTAAAAGCTATAAAACAAACTTCCTATCATTTCATAATTGATATATAATTAGATATGGTACATTTGTCTATATACATGTAATTATATATATATTTTTTTTTTGACCATGGTTAGATATTAATTAATTGTACTAGGGATTACTTACTATGTTAAAAACTTTTTAAATAAGTTTAGTTTGATACAATCAAAAATTGTAAATCAATTATATTTTCCATTGTTATTATTATTTAGTTATTTATGAGTATCATTTAATGGAAATAAAAAAACACTGTATTTAGTTTGAAAAATAATAATATTAGAGGGTAGTAATAATAGTTAATAACTTTTAATTTTATCTTTATAATTAAAAGTAAAATTTTTAATTTATAACATCTTATTAATATTATCAATTGATTACTTGAAAACATGTTAATATATTTAAGTTGTATTTTCTACAATTAATGTATTTTTTTAGTTCAGAAAAAAAATCATGCCTGGAATAGCAACCAACAGTTTGTTGTTAATTATTTCCAAAAATATTAAAATTGTGTTGATACAGAAAATGGTTTTCTTTAATGTAATTATATGGAAGTGGCGTGATCACTATTCAATTTTGACTTAAGCAAAGATCTACATAAAGCTTAACTATACAATTGATGTTTCGAGTATTATATATTTTTTAACTTTTATAGATTTTTGTAAAAAATAATATAAATTAATTATATAAAATCAAAATTGAATTTTGATAACAAAATCAATATTGTGTCAAGAAATAAAATTGCAATGTTTGGTTGATGAGATGGGAGAGTTAGATGCACTCAAGTCTCTTATCCTCCTCACAGCCGATAGGTACCTATAAGGTACACATAACAACAGTTAAAATTTTGAAAAGTGAACATAAACTTTTTCTGATAATTTCTATATATTAAAATCAAATTTGGAATAACTAGTTCATGAGTTATAAGTACCTATATTAAGTTTAGAAAAGCTGAGTAGGTAGTGGACCCATCTTTGCAAGGTATCCACATAACACTTCATTCTGCTCATCAAAATTAAAAACACAGTGAAACACTGAAATCTCTAAATACCGGACACTCTTAGTTGCCATAATTTTGTCTGTTATTTAGAGGTGTCCTCTATTCTAGAGGGGGGGGGGTTAATTTTGGAAAATAACTCGGAGAAATTAATAATTACATAGGTAGGTATTTACAACATTTATTATAAATTTAATATTTATAATCAATGATGTTTCTGTATTTGCATTATTGTATTGCAAATATTAATATTGACATATTGTACATACTATTATTTAAAATTATATGAAAAATCTGTTACTTTCGCTTGTTTAGACCTTGATGCATATTAGTTTCGCGGACCAAGGCATTTTCTAATTCAATGCGTCGGAGACAAACTACAATATAGATAGATAGATAAATATTTATTAAAGCATTCCACGATTATTCTATAGGTATTTACGATAAAAAATTGTCAAAATCAAAATGAAATTGCCATAAAAGTGTCCATTATTTAGAATGTAAGGTATTTAGGGGTTTTCCTGTATAAAAGTAGTGAAAATGTCTCCGTTTCTGAAGAAATGTCCGCTAAATAGAGGTGTCCGTTAAAGGAAGTTTAGCTGTAGTATGTGTAAAAAACAAGACAATTTAAATTTATTTTTTAAAAATTATTATATACTATTATTTGAAAAAAAATTAAAATTAAAAAATCAGCCTTCCTTCAATAAAATATCTTTTTCTTCTTCTTTCTGGTAAAATAATAGTTATCAAAATCCAAAATTTTTACAAGGGATGAGAGCTTATTGTGAAAGTCATTGTTGTAGATATAATATGCCCATCAAGTATCAAC